GAGCCCGGCGCGGTTTTTGTCATTATCCTAAGGGTCACACGAGGAGAAGATTGCGAGGAGTGTCCGAGATGCACCCATCGTACACTCTTTCTGGTTTACCGAGTCTGCCGACCAGGTGGCGAAACAGAGGACCCCACCACGATCCACAGCAGTCGGTTATGGAAAGCCATTTGGAAGATCTTTACAGGGTGGCGTAGCCTAGGACCACAAGGTTCGGTAGATGCAATTTTTGCAATTCTTAGAAAGGGAAGCGTATAGTATTCTTCAATCTGAAGTCAAGATGCCTGGAGCACAAATAGGATTGGCAGGTAGCTTAATTAAATAAGAGCAGGTTGTTGCCGAGGACCGGGTGTATTCTGTTTCTGAGCTTTCGGTAAAATTTATGACTATCTATCATCAAAGATTACATATAACGGCTTTAAAAGGGTTATTGGCATTTTGTGATAAGGCGCGTAAAGTGGCCTATTGTCGTTCACGTTCGCTTGCCTCGTATACATTGTTCAGCCCTGAGCAAGGTAAGATCTAGTTGACCACTGGTTTTGTTCCATTGTATCTGTCAGCTTATAAAAATAGTCATGTCATTTTCATTCGTCCTCTTAAGATGAAGATTATTGTTCTGTTTAGTGTTTATTTTTGGGTTAGTGCTCACTATAGAGTAAGGGTGTATGTAGAGTAAGGGTTACGGTATAGTTAGGCCGAAAATCTATTCGTGATCTTAGCCCTATGTTAGAGCTAGTGCTCGCGGCAGAACCCGAAATTATATGTAAAAAGACCTTTAATACTTAGCAAAGCGCTCCTACTATCGTGTCGAGTTTCGGGGCCCATTTGGGCAATCTTTAACCAATTTCCAACTGTAATAATTTAAAAAAACTTTCAGAACCGTAAAATATAACCACAATCGCTACTAACATTCGCGCACTACGGCCTAGCTTTGTTTTCTCTCCTCATAATTACTCATATCGTTATTCGATCTAGCTGCAATTTTCGATAAGCTCAGACGGAGAGCCGACTGTTGGATTTTCGAGGCACAAAGGCAGATCCCAGTATCTATAAACAGGACGAAACTGCTCCATACGACAGAAAATTTCATGATTTGAATTCTTTGGGAACGCAAAGGTTCAATTGACAAACAAGGGCAGTCGGCAACGATTGATTTTGCCGATAAAGGCGTAGCTGGAGAGCATACATGAGAGCTCAATGATATCAAAAAAACTGTGGATCTGGCTCATACTCTTTGTTAGTACACTAAGTTCAAACAGCCTACGAACCCACTCGTAGACCATGACAGTAATATTCAAAGGTCAGGGGCATCCACTTTCCTTGAGTACTCTTCTACGTCGAAAATACCGGCAAAAATAACCAGTAGTAGGTTGACATGCGGTTTTAATCAGCTAGGTCAACGGCGTAGAGCGTAAACAAACTAGCGCCACCATAACACAAAGGCAGTTTTCAATGTCTGGAATATGTCTGTGATTACATTTTTGTAGTCTAATCGTGATGCGTAAAGGGGCCGCGCTCCTCCCCCTTCGCTAGCCGGATGCTTGCACAGAGTATGACTCAGTTCTTCCTTGTGACACCGATCAAGAGTTTGTTTTGCAGCCGGAAATGTTTTAAACGCACACTAACATATCCATATACAATTGCTAATTTCTTAGTCTGGGACAAAAATATAGGAGGGACTGGCGGCAAAGGCAAGCAGGTAAGATACGGGAAGAAGAACCCTTGGTCACAGAGGTCGCCTTGCAAAAAACTACAGCATGATTTAATGTTATCGAATCATAACCGTTGGGGTGAATCACTGCGCGCATACAA